GACAAGATTTTCAAGGCCTGGTGCCTCTGTCGGCAGTGAACTTGCAACGGTGGAGCCACGATCAGGGACAACCACCTCCTCATAATGGAGACCGAAGCTTCTACAACTTGAGCGAGGGAGGCTTGATTGACAGAATCCTCCCTATCCTGGTTCGTAGTGTTGCTCGCAATGATTAACAAGGAAGAGCAACCATCGACCACGTCATGGAAATTAGGGCTAACTCAGGTTTCAACACAGTGCACCTCCACCATCTGACCGATGACCAGGACTTAACAAGGACTCACACTAATGCACTATAGATGGAACTGAATGCCAGCCGATCCGAAGTTAAATAACTTCGACAGATCCAAGTTATATTGGAAAGGCGTGTGTGGGAAACAGAACACCAGCTGACAAAATTCAGGGCAGGGTCTAGTACTAACCAGAACAACACTCCTCGCAAGTAGATCATACTCTACTCACTCTTTTGGATATAGCTTAGGTCTACTTTTAGACTCTAGTATTATTTTCCTGTTTATTTCTAGGCCTTGAACTTTCAATTCGTTAGGTCGTCAAGTAATGTTCCTAGAGAGAAAAACTCATATGTAAAGAAGTTAGTGGGAGTGGTATTTATCTTGAGAGTTTCAAGAGTCAATTGATAGTGATACTTTTAGTTATCACTCGCACGTAACCTGAGGTTGAAAACTTGTTGTGTTTAATGTGCACATTCTTATTTCTGTACACTCCTAGTTATGTTGGAAATGCTTGTGAGTTCTATATTTTCGTTTAACTGCAAAAGCAAAGCATGTTGGTAAGTGAAGGTACACTGATCAATATGGATGAACTATTAATAGCATGGAATCGTTGGTAGGCTTTTAAGCTGCCAGAAGGCAAGAGATCAAGAACAACAGAGTTCAGTTCATGATGGAAAATTGAGTTTGAATTTGGTTTGTCCTAAACCTTGTCTTATGATTGTAGGTTGGAAATGAAAAGTTCACACGGATTGGAATGTATGATCCTTCAAATCCAGCTGACAAAAAGTTTCACTCTGATTCATGAAAATGATTATGAGGAAACACATTTGCTGATAGTTTTTAAAGATCAATATGGATATTGGTTATATTAGTTGCATTCTCTTATTCACAATATGATTACAACATCCTTCTTCATATTTCGAATTATGAGGCATGGAAACGAATTGTTTGAACTTACTTAACGAAGCATCGCGTAACAAAAATATGCACTTATGTATGAAAGTTAAAGGGCATTGATTTATAGAAGTCTAGTTGATTTCTGGGTACATGTCAAAGCTAGTGGGAGCATAATTGTTTTGCTGAAATTGTATGAGGACAATATTTTTCATAGGAAACAACATCTATGGTTTGCAAATTGAAAATTTTGAGAAATGTTTCACTATGGTAGACTTGGGTAGAAGGAACTCATACTTCATTTCAAATGTAAAGGTTTAGATTGTATAATTTAATATAACTTAGTTAAAGACATATATGAATATCATGTTGAAATATTTCAACATAGGCGATTCGATATATGAAAATATTATAGTAAAAAATTGAACATATATTAAATCCTTGTACAGGTAATAATGAGTCGAGTGCCATATATTTTGGATATATGATCGATCACATATGCTATAATATTTGATTATTCTAATTTTTCAAATGCCTTTAGCTTTGTAAGAAAAAGATTAGAATTTTATGTGACTAAAGTTGTTAAACAACTGTCAAGAACATTCTTAGGTTTACCAAAGATTGGGTGATGGTGGATAGTTAGAAAATGATGTTATTTAGGACGAACCACAGTGACATGTTTTGGATTGCGATGATTGCTGGTCAGAATTGATGGGCATGTGGGAATATGGAAATGTTTCCATAATGGGAGATGGTTGTAAAGTCTACATGTAAGTTGGAAACTTTAATGCAAGAGAAATGTCCAAGGAATGTACCTTGATTTTGAAACTTCATAACCATGGAATTGTTTCAAATATCCAGTTCCAGTGAAACATTCTACATTATCGATAGCCCAGTCTATCTGACTTTGAAACCTCGACATCACAGAAGGTCCATGCATGTAAAGATGGAATTTGGCTACATCTTAAATAACAATAAGAATTGGGAATTGTGAAAATGAACATCGTTTAATTAAATTTATTATTTAATTAATTCAAATCTAGATTCATCTGCAAGTTATGCAAACTATAAATAGGACTCCATGGCTCTTAATTTTCATGGCTTTTACCTCACACAAAGGGGAGAATGAAATTTCTTCTTCTTTCCTCTCACCTATCTTCATTCTATGTTTTCTAGGGTTTTAGGAGTGAGTCATTAGAGGCATCATGCTTTGGTGCTTGCTTTCTAAGTTCAATGAATAATTCAGAGAATTGTTTACATTAACAATTCGAAAGGCATGTAACACTAATCTCATGAATTATAATTATGACCTAGTGTTCTAGTAGTTCATTGTATGTTTTTATTAATTTTAAGGACATAGATCCTTAGGTTGCATATATCCTTAAGTGTTCAGAGAATTTTTGCAAGTACATAGAATTTGTAACCTTAAAATTCCATCACATGCATACATATATACATAAAAAGTATAAAATAAATTAAAGAGAAAGAGTGAAAGTAATAACTCACCTTGTTAGTTGGTGAAGATTAATTGTTTCGTTCTCATCTACTCTGCCATTGATGCATTCTGTATCCATCTTCTTTCTTTTAGGCATAATCATACATATATAAAAGTTCTTATTACTTGTATTAGCTTATTAAGAGCTTAATGACTCTTAAGGTCAAAGTGACCACTTAATGGATCAAAACTCTATCTTTTCATTATCTATCTCTTAATCTCAATCAATTAATGAATTAAACATCATATTATACTTAATTCATTATAATCTACATCTAATACATCAATTAAACATAATCACTACTTAAGGTTTCAACCCAAACTTTTATTGGATTGATCCCATTCCTGGGATTACATAAAAAGCTTGTTTAAGGCATCTAAACATCGTCATTAACACTAGTAAAAAGCTTTCTAACTCTAATATAATATAGCTAGCTCAATTCATCAAAAAGACCATTAAAACCATACTATATTAAAATGGAGAAGATGATTACCTCATGAGCTTTTCATCTCTAATCCAAGCCTCAAACACCTTTAATAGCCTCTTAATCGTCTAGTTACCATGTCATGGTGACCACTTGAATCGCAGTGAAAGGCAGCTTACTTTGTGCCACCGTGCCATGGGGAACATATTGTCACGCCGCGATAAAGTTCAATCTATTTCTTTCTCTATCAGACGAACATGTTTGAATCCTTCATAATTCTTACCATACCGTGGTGATTTATTCACCACGCCGCAATGACTGCTTGAGTGTAGCTCTTTAGGCTGATTCAATACAAGCTTTGGGACAAATTTGTCCCAATTTCTAACATTCATAACTTCTTAGTTTCTTATTCGTTTTTTATGTTATTTATATCCACACGAAGGTGGGAACATATTCTACACATTTGTTAAGTCATATCTCACTGACTTAATACGGGTCTTAATCTGTTAAGTTACAAAGCTGTTCTAAAAAGTATAAAATTCTCATTGTACCATTTTGACCAAAAATGCATATTTTCATACATTCTTTCTCTTGAACTTACTCATCTACTCTCATATTAATGACTAAAACTCTTATTATCCATTTTCATAAAGTCACAACTTCATAATCTCATCTAATTCTCATTATTGGCCCTTTTGCCCTATTGGTTAATATGTGACTAAAAGTCAACTCTCTCTAAGTTTCAGATTATTACATATAGTGGATCTTTATATAGGAGGTCCCACGTTTTAATCCCCAAAGCGATGACTTTAACGAAAGCAAAAAGCAAAAAAAAAAAAAAAAAAAAAAAAAAAAGAAAAAAAAGACGTTTGTACATATTCATATTCATAGAAGATAATAAAACCATCTCCATGGTCGCTACTCTAAGCGGAAAACCTATTTTGAAAGTAATAAAAAACAAAAAACGTACTTAAAGTTGTTTGAGGTAGATTTACAGTTATATACAAAGCTTCTTATTTATTTATTTATTTATTTGCAAAAAGTTGAAAATCACAAGTGTTATAATATAATATCTATAATCAGATTTTAACATATTAAATGTCAAATAAATAAATAAATAAATAAAAAGTCGAGCTTTTTAATAACTTAACCAAAAGTAATTATTGAAACCAGGCATATATGCATTCATTTTGCTTTGAATGGGCTGCATAATCATGACCCATCTATTCTTTAGTAGCCTATTAACCCATTTAAACTATTTTCACATTCAAATACGAGGTTCTCATTAACAATGTTGTAATTATCTTGTCTATATCTTTCTTGTTCGTTTTTTTCCCGGAATTCGAAAAGAAAAGCGAAAGCCATACCGTTTTGTTTCTTTCATCTTAATTTTTTTATTGTTTCGGTTTTTTACTTTTCTATGCTTTTTGTAGGCGTCCTTATATGATATCCCTGATGATGTAGATTACATTTAAAAAAAATTAGAAAAAAAAAAATACATACTAAGTAAATAAGCTTCCAATCTGATACCAAAATCTGTTCAAATATGATATTACAAAAAAAAAAAATGATGTAATCACATGTGAGATAAGAGAAAACAAAAACAAAAAAAACAATTATGCCATACGCGATTTCATGTATGGACGAAATGACCATCCAACTTTTTTTTTTTTTTTTTTTAATGGAAAATTTGAAATTGTAGATGGCTCGACGAAACCACATATGTGGTTTTTATGGCTAGTTTTTGAAAAAAACTTAATCTTTATCTATCTTATGGAAAATGATTAAAAAAGTGGCTACACTTTATAAATTCCTCTCCTGTAAAGGTTATGGGAACAATGAGATTAAAAGACAAACTCAGCCCATACAACTACAAGAATAACTTTGTTCTGATCTCAATCCGGCCTGGCCGTTTAACCAACAATGGGACATACACGAAACTACTCAAAACAAACCTTTCTTCCAGGTGAAGCTCTCCCATGCTAGTTGACCATTATGACTCTTTCCACTTACACATCATGACCACACTCCTTCTAATCATCTCCATGACACCCACCTTATATATTTAAACCACAAATAAATTATTATTTTATATGATAAACACCCAATACGAAGAAAATCGTCACATTTACAATGTGGAACTTGCATTTTCACATCATTAAACACAATACTAGCTCTCGATTAAGTTAATACCCATTCTCTCATACAACTTTTATAATAGGGACCAACCAAACCAAGGCATGCATAGAAATTGGAAGTAGAGGCTTTTTTTATTTTATATTTAATATCTCCTGGCTTTCTAAAGACATCATCTACATACAACAAAACATCATCTACTACTTGAAGAGAGGAAGTGTTAAAAGTGGTTGTGGTGGATATATATTGGTCTGGTCATAACTATGGCTATTTGCAGAGTGGTCAAGACCTTCACCACCATCATCAACATCATCTTTCTGGTTCTTCTTTGCTGATGCCACCTGTAACTGTAAGTCGACATCTCATCAATAATTCTTCCATGGCAACTCCACAACAAGATTGAGGTGAAACAATTGCAGTTTTCATGTTAATAAGATACGTATATATATATTTACCTGCTGTTTCAGTTCTTCCTTTTCCTCAGTTAATTTCCTTTCCTGTTCATGAAAGTTCGACATACGCTCCATCATCAATTGAGTCTGTGCAAACAATATTATAATTATTGTCAATTTACAGACTCAATGAGAGAGCAGAAAATCAGTTAGTTAGACAATGAATCACCTTTTTAGATCTTGTATGCAAAATTGCAGCATGAAGTTCCTCCTCTAACTTTGTCATGTCACCCACAGAGACTTCATTTGGTTCTTCGTCAACCCTGCTGTCAAGCTCTGGGATTATCTTTGAATTTTGAAACTACTTAATGATCCCTATATTACTACTTGATTGACCATACATCATATACAGACATATTTAGTGCTTCCATGATATGTGTATATATATAATATACCTTCTTACCAACTTTAGAAGCTCTTTGCATGTTCGGAATCTTGTGGACTTGTTAAATGCCTACAGATATCTTGCAAATTTAATGTTATATGGTGAGATCAAGTTATGAATAGACAATTATAGTCATTACTTACCATATCTTCACAAGCTCCTTCTTGGGTGGTTCTCTCTTCTGCCTGATACCTGGAAAGGATAAGCTCCACACTGAACAATAGCTGGTTAGATAGATAACATTTAAGTCTAATGATTACTTGTAACCTTAAAAATGGTAACCGTATTTGGTTGTGTTGCATAATTTAGTATTTGATTAGAATGGATTGCATTATAAATGGAATCAAAGGACAAAGGCCTTGCTTGATTAGCTATCTGTGGGCTTAGCCCTGAAAATACAAGGAATAATAAGCTCTACAACAACCATAGCCAGTTAGATAACATCCAAATCCAAAGATTAGATTACAACCTTTAACTACAAAGGATTGAAGTAATTGACACATTGTCATAATAAAATAGGAAGAATTCTGTATATTTCTTTATTAAACATCAAAATATCATACTTTCCTAACTTAATTTCTATATATCATGTTTACCCTTCATAAAATTTTAAAGTATTGTATATGTTTTTTTCTAATTATCAAAATATCATATATATATATATATATATATATATATATATATATATATATATATATATATATATATATATATATATAAAATATCAAAATATCAATGGATATCTATCTACATCATGACAATATTCACCAACAACAAAAATTAAACAATCAATATACATACATTCCATGGAGAGGTCTAAAGATGAAGCATTTTGTTTGTCAAGAGAGCATGATTTCAACAATCTAAAAGTAATGTTTAATTATTATAGACGTAGGGATAATGCAGTTAAAGTTTTTTTTTAATTATTATAATAATTCTAAAATATAAAAATGATTATTAACTATTAAAAACATTGTAAACAAAGATTTAGGAAAATATGATATTTTGAAGGTTTTTATAAAGGGTAAGTATGGTATTAAGTAACTACATTAGTCAAATATTATATTTTGATGTTTAAGAAGTACATATATGAAATTCTCTCAATAAAAAAATTAGTCCAAAACCAAATTGTGGTGCATGAAGTATAAAGCCCCAAGTGTAAAGGATGAATGACCACCCTTGACCTTTACTAATAAAAATTATGTTGGTAAATATTATGTGTGTGTGTGTGTGAGAGAGAGAGAGAGAGAGAGAGAGAAGGATTATGTTCAAGCACCATCTAATGGACTTGTTCAAACTCACCATGCAACATTTAGTCCCCCAAACTCAGCCAACTATGGGTCATAAACACCAAATAAAGGAAACAAAGCCAAGTAGCCAAATGCTTGAATGACTTAGAGAACGAGTACAAACGAAATGGGGGAGCCTTATTATACTTGAGGCTTTTTGGAAAACATAAAGGAAAGCAATTAAAGCATGTTGCTTCTTGAAGACGATTATTCAATATCCTTCTACAAGCTCAATGTCTCCATCGTGCCTTCCTCCTTGTTTCCTTGTAGTTAGGTCCAAATAAATCTCCCCAACCTCTTGATTGAAAGAGGTCATTACTATCGTTGGTGCTTACTTAGACACTCCTCAATCGGGTCTTCCAAGTCTTTGTAATATGAATTGCAGATGTTCACATAGAAAACCGAGTGGCTCTTCAAATTAGGCGGGAGTTGGAGTTGGTATGAGATTTTCCAACTATCCTTATCATCGGGGAAAAGACATTCACATTGGCGCCCTAGGCTCTTGTGTACCATTCCTTTTCCGACTTATAAGAAGTCATTATATTCCGTTCATAAGGTGTGGCCAATCATATTGTTCCATTATTATGTCTAAAGTAAAACACTCACCATCTCTATTTTCCATAGGATAGAAGCTTATGAAAAAGTTTAGCTTTGTTCCTAGTTGTTTGAATAATTTTGTCTAAAACTACCCTTGAATCGTAGATCTCGACCACCTATGATAATCATCTATGGTATACCCCAATAGCCCTCTCATCAACAATGTAACTGACTGACGCTACAATAGAAGATGCATAGTATGATAATTGATCAATGCCCACAATGATGTTGATACATCCTTCCAAGGTTCGCAATCATGTGATATATTCCATAAGTATACTTTCCCATGGACCCGCGAATGTTGGTAATGATGCTAATAATACTTTTGGTTGGCATAGCATGACTTTGTCTTTGTGTTACACCAAACACATTAACGTCTACTTCTACATCATTCCATATGACAATAAGTATTAGATCAATGTTAATGATTGTCTTATCCATGCAAGTACAACACTTTTGGAATCAAAACTCTTTGGCAATGCTCCACGTAAGGTTATCATACTTAGGCATGAATAACCAATCTCCCTTGGTGAACATCATGTCACCCTTTTATCAAAAAACATCAAGTTTTCCTTTCTCGATCCATTTCCATTAGATTCTTAGCCAAATGATTTTGTGTTAATACTTCTTTAATTTGGTAATGTAGAAAGAATAAGGATTACATAACTATTGCAATCTCCACCTTACAACTTAGTGCATTTGTCACTATGTTTGTCTTTGTGGGGTTTCACTCTAGTAAGTAAGAAATTACAATAGAGAATCGTTTTTGAAGCTTGATTTGGACTCAACATTTTTTAGGTTTAGAAATAGCTCATGAAAATATTATACTTCTAGATCATAAACTTTTCCAGAGCAAATCATGCCTTAAATCCGCAAGGAATGTATAATCACATTTCATCTCTTTTCATTGAATGTTACAACACCACTCCAACTTATTCAACTTTCGATTTTCAAATGCAATTGAGTGTCTCATGCAATAGGACATACCCAAAGTCTGATGTATCTATATGTAAGTTGAATGATTGAGCCTTATCTAGTAGTCTCATCACTCGTTCTCACATTACGATACCCTTCAACTCTTGGATAGCTACTTAACAATTAGCATCCTACTCCCATACTTAATTATTTTTCAAGATATCCATAAAAGGATCTACCCGACTCAAGCATCATTGGATAGAATTCTATTAATGGTTCACATGCCAAAGAAAAATCGAAGTTACTCAACCTTTGTTGGACCCATCCAATATCCAATAGCTTTCATTTTGGATTCACCCATTCTCGACCATAAATATTGATCTTGTATCCTAAGATTCCATCTGCTTCTACATACATAAGCATTTCAATTTCTCATAAAGCTCGTTATACAAATAAACATATAATACACGTGTCAAGTGAAAAACATGCTCCTATAAAGATGACTATAAACGTTGATTTTGTCCAAGTAAATCACCAAAAACTTGTCATGCAAATTATGGAATAAGTGGATTTTTTTAACATAAAAGAATGACCAAGAACTTATAGGAATCATACTTTTAAGTTTTAACACATCATTTTTTATTTGTCCTCTGCGGAATCTAAACTTGATAGTACTTTGGTCTGAAGTTAGGCTTAGAGAAATATTAGGTTGTTCCCAATTGATCAAATAATTTCAAAATTAAAAGGATACTTGTTTTATCTCCATGACCTTGCTCAAAACTTGAAAACCAATGCATATTCATTAAGAATCAATCATATTTTGTTAGAATAAGATCATTCAACCATAGAGGTCCATCGATGGTTAATTTACCCTTATCATCTTTAAGTTGTTTCTACAACAATTGTAACTATGATCGTGCCATACAAGAAGGGGATTTGGAAGTTGGCTTGGAATCTAGTTCCAACTCGATCCACCTTCGGTCTTGTGGAAGCTTCTTAGGAAACTCCTTATGCCTCACATCCTTAAACTCACCATGAAGTTGCTTGATTTTCTTTAGGACTATTTATATTATCATAATTTTTCCTAACTCCTCCTTTATATCCACTAAATAAAAGGACTTGTTTCGAAGCCCTAACTAAATTGCATAATGTATACCATATTCATTTCGTTCTTAACAACCCTTTTCCTAAAAACCATGAAGATACTTATTGAGTTAGCAAAAGGCATTTGGAAATCACATACTTTGTGAAAAACTTTAACATAAGCACGAGTTAGAAGCCATCTATTGGAACCGCTAATAGGGTGATCATCTCTTCACACTCTCTAATCTTTGCACGTATATCGTGTGGCACCCCATAGTTAACTGTGTATTTGAGTTTGATCCTTTGTGAAGCAACTCCCTTCATGATATTGATACCCAACTGTTTTGCTTCGACAAGAGACACAAAATTGTTACACCACTATGGACAGTAACAAACCAGACTGCCTTAAATGGTCGATTCCACAAATTAAAGTCTTGTTTCTTACTTTTGGAGTCTCCATCTTGGCATTAATTCCATCAAGGATTCTCAATACTCCCATGGAAAAAAATATCAATTCATAATTGCGACTCTACAAAAATTTGTTGTTATTATGAAAAAATAAGATTAAAACACTTCACATTATAGTCATATATGAGTGTTAAATAATTTAGATAATATCTTGCCATTTCCATTTACCATTGTTAAATTGCCCCCCTAAGGCCAGATTAAGAATATATATATTGTAAGGGGGGGGGGGGAGAGAGAGAGAGAGAGAGAGAGAGAGAGAGAGAAGTTAATATAATCTATGTAATATACAATAAAATTCCACCAAAACAACCTAATTGGTCTGAGAAACTAAGTCTGAGGGGTGTTTACTACCAAGTCCCCAAATCCAACTAGGTGGCGAGTTACGGACCTAATTCCTGCTACACTAGTCAATCAACACTAGCCAATCAGAACACCATGCGCAAGCAATGAGCTAAAATAAAAAAAAATAAACATTAAATCATAGAAGCATGTAAAATTGCAAAAGGATGCCATGAACATGTACTAAGAATACTATACTTATGTTTTATAACCTTTGAATTCCATGTTAAGTGACATGTTCATTAATAAATAGTAAACAAAATCATGGAAGCATGTAAAAGTGCAAACATAGGAAATAAGCATTTACTAAGAAATTATACTTGTGTCATAACCTTTGAATACTCATTTAGGTATAACCTTTGAATACTCAGTTACATATGGGCACATGTTTGTTAGTGTGCTTATGGGTAAAAGCAAAGCAAATAAGTTAAGTGGTATATTGAGAATATGTTTAACATTAAATCATTGAACAATGAAGTAGGTTATTGAATTGAGTAATTATAGACTATGGCTATGTTTGGC